AGCACTGAATACCGGTGGGGTGCTAGCCACACAGGCTCTGATGCCTAACTCATAATCGGAGGTTTGTCGAGTATTGAGAATAGGGTTTTCAGCGTACTTTTAGGGTTCAACTTATTTTTATATCTATAGAGATTGAATCCAGATGCCCTTAAGAAATCATGTTGGGTTGTGGGCATCTTGGTCCGAATGTTGGATCAACGGATCGGTAGCTTGTAGTAGACTTTCTAATAGTCGGATCGGGTCAAGTCGGCTGGGACCTAGTCGACCAAGACCTTGTGAGACCCTAGACCTAGTCATGCCTAGATCTGGTCATGCCCCGAACATGGTCATGCCTTGGATTTGGTCATGCCTTGGACCTGATCACTAATCATGCCCTGGGTCCGATCATGCCTGTTGATCATGCCTGATCATGCCTTGGACCTGGTCACTGGTCATATCCTAGATCTGGTCATGCTTTGGGCCATAGACCTATGATGTAGCTCACCTATCAAGTCTAGTTTATCTTCCCATAACAGTAGCTCTCACTCTCAAAATAGAAAACAATAGGCATAGGTAAAATATTGGACTTATATATTGAGAGTAATTGTTGTTTGGTTTTCGAAGGCTTTGTTGTTCATGGGCCGACTATTTTTATAAAACAGCCTCCACTCTCAAAGTTGAAGATAATGAGTTAGTCGAAATGTCGGACTTTTGCTCTAAGAGTATTTGTCGTAAGTCCATTATCCGTCATTTATTATCGGTCATTCTTAGACGATCACCCTTGGTAGTTCATTCTTGGATGACTATTCTTAGTTTGTTATCCATTGTCGGTTATTATTGTTGGCCTTCTGGCTAGTTGATCCTGATCGCTCTTATAACTTGTTGATCTTGATGTACTTTGCTTCTAATAATAGCCTACATTCTTTTTATGGGATTTTGCTAAGTTGAAAGTCATCATGTGTCAATCAATATCTTTGTTGAGAGTGGTAAGAATATCGTGTTTCTAGTCTAGAAATCCACTTGACGTTCTTTTTAATGTTGTTTTTCAAAACTTGTTCACCATTTGAGTTGATGTCTCGTTTAATCTAGCATTTGGGTATAGGTTATAACAATGATTTGATATCTTAGATCCATTCTGTTGAAGAGCTGAATAATTGAATATTTCTTCTATGTGATGATAGATCTGAATGATTGCTTTTACTGGCTCTCCAAGTGGTTGCTTAGTCTAAGGTTGCTTAACCTGTGGAATTTTCGCAAGATCAAGTTCGTATTAGAATTACTTGGTGGACTTGATCTGTAGGACTCTAAACATGACTAAGCAACTGTTTGTGGAGGAGTCAAGCCGTTATCAAGTTTTTTTGCAGCGCGCAAGAAATAAAGCACGAGGTGGTGGAGGCCAAGGACCTAATTGGGTAGGTACTAGTTCCCGGTTGGCTAGGTCCTGTGCCGTAGTTCGTCAATTGGGTTTCTAGTCTCTGCTCTTTTCTCCCCTGTGCCCCACTCGGACTTTTTTCTTATTTATAAGAGTCGAATCTTCGTTATGTTAAGAAACCTAGTTTTTTTGGGCTTCAATGTGGATATATTCATGGGTCAAATATTAGAAAGAGTAGTCGTAGGCCCACTCGAGAGATCTGATTACATCAAAGAAAAAGAAAATGGGGGAGGTCGAGCACTGGTTGGCACCGACCCCAGGTCGGCCGTTGCTCCGGCCTGCCGGACTTCGGTCTTTGATGGGTCAAGCCCTGCTCTTTCATTCAACCTCTTGAGCTAGGCTTCTTTTCTACTTTAATTTAGTTTGGGCTTATCTATGTTGCTTACGTGTCAGGTTCGATTTTTCTCGGTGTAACCGTATAAAAATCTTATCTTAGTCGTCTCAATCATATTTTTGTGGAACAGTTTTTTGCTATTTTCGTGTCATGAGGAGCTTTAAATCAAGTCTCTTAGGCTTTGTCATACGGTTTGATTTACTCGTTAGTCTTTTGTTGGCATTGGGCTCTAACTTAGCTGGGCTGGTTTGCTCACCTTCAACACCCTTGGGTTTCTAAACCTATTTTTGGCTTTTTCCTAATGACTTTATACCCTGATTTTGTTGATTGTCTTGGCTCATTCCCCCACTTTTAGTTTTAATCTTGTTGACTCGTTCGTATGCATTTTTCAGCACCTTTGAGTTTTTATCATTTGGGCTTAATTTACCATTGATCTTTCCCAGTTTCACTTCTAGTTTATTGGCCTATTTATTTGTTTCTATTTGAGTTCTTTGATCAGCTTTTGTGGTCGATTTACTTACCCAAAAACCCCTACTTGAGGAGTGTATATTTTTTTAATAAAGATAAATGCTCGAGTAATTACAGAAATATGACTAACCAAATTCCAAATGCTAGAAATTCATTCGAACTACAAACAAGCAAATAATTTTGGAAACCTAAAATATATGTAATTATCATGAAATAGATCTAACATAAGCAATCAGTAATCAACTAAATGCAAAAAGAAATTAAACGTTGCTACAAAAAAGGAAAGTTAAAAAAAATACTCTATCACTTTGCTTTGTTGTTCTTCAAGGTTGTATAGTAGCACACTCGCAACGCACATTGTTCCCCCTTAACTTCACCTACCCCTCCGAATGTCGGAAATTTCATGGATTGGTGATATGTGGAGGGTATTGCCTGCAACCTGTGAATGATGGATCTTACCCAATGTCGCGTTGTAGGATGAGGTGTGGTTAATGACAAGAAATTCGATCATTTTTTTAACGCTTCTTGATCCGCTGCCAAACGTCACAAGTAGTTCTATGCTTCCCTTATGTATGACATGTTCTCTGCCAAACCTTGACCAGTGGTGTTGGCTTGTTGTCAACCTCTCGTTCCCTGGTCTCAAAGCTTCGTATGCATTCAGAGACAATATATCTGTAGAGCTACCCTCGTCGACAAGATTCAATGAACTTTAGTCATTCTAAAGTAATGACCAATACATTGTTATTTGATGACCTTAGCATGTCATTTTCAAGGTCTATGTAATTCATGACCTTAGAACCTCTTATTATAAGGTATTTGTTGGAGATTGTTAGACAATTTCCTAAAAGAGATAATGAATCTTGAGAGCATAAAATAAACATTCTTTGATATGTCGATATTTTCATTGATATTTAGAAAATCATTTTCGAACTCTATGCACATAATTTAATTTGTAACCCTAAACCCTCTTATTATATCAGATGTTTATGGAGATTGTGGGACAATTTTCTGGGAGAGAGAACCAGTTTAAGAGCAGGAAATAAAATTTTTAAAGACGTGTAGATATTTTCACAACCATTTTGAAGTCTACGTAATTTATGACTCCCTAAGTCTCTTATTTGATTAGGTGTTTATTAGAGATGGTGGAAAATTTTCTTAAAGAGGCAATGAGTTTCAAGAGCATGAAATAAAATATTTATTGACAAGTCAATAATTTCATGACTGTTTTCAAGTCGATGTAATTTATGACTATAAATCTCTTATTATTTTAGGTGTTTATGGGAAGTTGTGAGACAGTTGTTTGAAAAACATAACAAGTCTCTCTTCTTAATTTTTGATAAAGTTAAAGAGATAATAAATCTCAAGAGCATGAAATATATTTCATGGCACGTTAAAAAGCTTTATGAATTGAATGGTTAGATATATATCAATATATTTGTTTGGGGTGAAAATCAGGATGCCACGTGGAGGACACAAATACGACCTGGATTTCTCAAAATTTAGGTCCACCTCGAACCTGTCCGATGTGATACATTTAGCCAAATATTCATAAGGTTAATTGTCATGTGGTGCGACCTACTCCTAGGTCCGACACCCAGGTTGGAACATGTGCGACCTGACCTCCGACAAGCTGTCGAGTCCTCAACCTATAAATAGAGGGCATCACTTCTGTATACAGGTATCGCATTCCATCTTTAACTTACTATTGAGTATGAGCTGATTATCAACTTGAGCGTCGGAGTTTTTGCCTCTCCTATGCAGTCGTTCTCCGTTGAGGCGAGTCAGCTATTCCACGTGTCCGACCTTGATCAGGTCAGACCTCGCTCAATTTTATGTATAAATAATATTAATATTCAAATAATTTTTCATTAATTTTTCTTTTTATATTTAAAAATTTTGAATTTTGTTTCTTTAATAAATGTCACAAATCATTTATATATTTATGTTGTTACCATACAGAATATTCGACATGTTCTTTATATATGTAGCAACGAGCTTCTATTTTCTATGTAGCTACTTTTGTTAGTTTATATTAATATTTAAGGTTGAGAAAAATAAAAAGAAAGACAAAATTAGTAGGTAAAAAACTATTTAGAGAAATTTACGAAGTTTAACCAAATATTGATTGATGAAAATGAAATTTTTAAAATTATTTGGGATCCAATTGAAAGGAAACCCAAATCACTCTCTTTTCAAGTTATATTAAAATTTATACATAAATTTAAATATTACTTTGGCATCTATAATTTTTTACTTTGTTCATTTTCATTCTCATATTTATATGGACAAATACACAAATCTATCTTAATAGAATAGTTGTTGTCATGGTAGTCGTTCATTTTGCCCCTCTAAAATTTAAATGGTAAGAATTTGGGTTCAATTCTTTTCATTTAAGAAAATTTGGATTTAATTTTTATTAATGAAAGTTTAGTATTCTAATTTTTTAATTTATAAAATTTTGAGAGTTTAATTTTATCGTCTATAATCACTATCATACTTCGAGTGGTTTGTACAATTTATTATATTTCTAACTTTTGTTCATTCCAATTATTTATTGATGAAATGTCACCCATGTAATTTTTAAAATATTTTGAAAGTATACGGATCAAAATAAAAATAAAATAAATATTTTGCTAAAACGACATATATCCTAAACATGAACCTAACTCGATTATTTATTTATAATAATAATTAGAAAAAGAAAAAAAAAACCATGTTAAGAAGGTACGTTGTGCAAGATGCATCCAATTCCAACGGCCAACTCTAGTTTCTGCTCATCGGGTACACCTTCTTTCTGGGTTTTGACGTCCTTAATTTCCCTCTAATTTTGAACTGTAAAGCTTCAGCATTCTTTCCCATGGTGTCCCGTCTGTGATTCTTCTCCTAAGCCCCATTCCGTTCCCCTCTTCTTCTCCCATGCTCACCAAGTGTTCGTAGAAATTCCCATGAGAGTAGCTCTGCAGGGATTTAGCAGATACCCTTCTAATTTTCCTGGATTTATTGTAATTTGTTGAGCTATAAAATTTGTATTCTCTTGGGTTTTTCTGTTCCCACTTCTCTTGATTTACTTTCTTGCTCCAATCTGCAGGGCATATCGTTATTTGATGTCAAGCACAAGCAGCCACATGGGGCTGCGTTTTTTGTCCACTCTTTCCCACCCACGGAAGAATCTGCTGATGGGGTTCTCGTCTCTGTCCCCAACTACTGCAATTGCTAAGATGAGAACCATCAGAACTGCTCCCTCTTGTAGGTGGGTTGGTTGTCAATTGAACTCTAATGATTCCAGCAGCAAGAGGAGCCAGTTAGGAACAGTTTACTCCACTAATTCAAACGGGAAATTTAGCAATAAGCAGTTTATTAGTGTTGATCCACGGCTTTATGAGTACATTCTCTCCAATGTTCGAGAGCCTGAGGTATAATTTTTTGCTCTCTTTGTTTGTCCATTTGAGTTACTGCTGCTCCTAAGAACTTGAATATTCTAGTTCATTGTTTGTTTGGATTAATTATTCACACTCATTGTACACTAAAATTTACATTTTACCAATGAGACCTAGTATATTTAAGCTATTACTCAAATATAGACGAAGTAATAAAAGCTCAACTGCTTAATCTGATAGGTTAGGTATACTTAACGCTCTCCTTCATTTGTAAGTAGACCTCTCACTCTCAATATTAATTGGGATGAACCGACGTTGTATGGTTTGAACATATGATCTTCTGGCTCGATACCATGTTGAATTACTGCTAAACTCAAAAATTTAAGTTGGAAGATTAGATTATTTTTAGTCTTTTATAGAAAAAAATATATAAGCATGCAAGTTTTTCTAATAGGTTCGTTAATATATATGTTAGGTGCTTTGTGACCCATCTGATTGATTGTAATTAATTGAATTCGTTCATTTAGATCCTAGGGCAACTTCGTGAGGAGACTGCCTCAATGCATGGTAGTCAAATGCAGGTAATTTTTGCTGATTCCATCGTTACATTCTTCCTATGTTTTATGTTTAGATCTTTTCTCTGAGCTTTCTGGAGTTTTTAACAAGTTATCTTTGTTTTCCAATTACATTTCCCTTTTTTTTCATTGTTCTGATGCAAAAAGAAAAACTACTTTCATAAGACAAGGGGAAATGTGAAATGTGACTCATTCAATTTCAAAATAATATTATTGTGATTATTATCATAATTGACAGTCTTCTCGAAGTTCACTCATCTGAGAGGAGATCTGTTTTATTAACCATTTTAATATTTCTCTAGAGAGCCGATGTCTTTTTACCTCACATGGTCATCAAGTTTTATCGCAGGTTAGAATGCAATAAATTTTTTATGATATCAACTTGTCAACTAGTGGTAATGTATTTTGAAGTAAAATTTTGATTAGAATATGGTTTTGAGAAGATTTGAAGTTCTAAGTAGTTTTAGCTTTGTCCCATCCAAAATGAATTCAGTAAACTTTTTAATATACTCTAATCTATGTAAAAACTTCATGAGACCAATGGAATGTCGGTTAAGGTTTAACATTGATTACCACTTTCAAACATACACTTGAATCTGATAAATTTATGTCATAGGTATCTCCTGATCAAGCACAACTACTTGCAATGCTTGTTCAGATTCTTGGTGCAAAGAGGTGCATTGAAGTGGGTGTTTACACTGTATGTCCCGTTATCCACTTCTCACTGCTCGACAGGTTTTGGTTTTCTAGTGCATCTTCTTTTTCTGATTTAGGCTGAGAGACCGACCAAAAGCACTATATCCAAGACCGTGGCTGCTGCTTAAAATTTTAAAGTTCTGAAGTAATATAAAATATTTTAGAAAAAGTCAAAAGTACCGTAATTTATTTGAGAAAGTACTTGCGGAGTGCTCTTGGACTGGGAAGCACTTAGAAGTATTTTTATTCTTTTAAGAATGAAGACGAAGCATCAATAACTTGTTTGAACCTCCAACCTCAAGGAAAATAGTAGATGTCAATTACTATTGAGCTATGCTCATTTTGACAAGCATCAATAACTTGTTATTAATCATTTTTTTCACTGAAGTGCTTATCTTTTGCCAAAAACATTCATGCTAAGAGCACTCCTAGTATCATAAATATTATAGGCTGCTTGCAAATAATTTTAGAATAATCAATTATCAATAACGCAAAGATGCTCTTGTGGTGCTCTCAATTCTTATTAAGTAATCTAACATCTGTTTTTGCAAAGTTCAATTTATATTTGTTTCATGTTAGTAGAGAAACTAAAATACATGTCTTCAATTTGTAGCTTCAATTAGAAGAACGTAGTTTATGTTCTGATTAAATTCATTAGCATTCAATTATAAAGAGTTTCCACTGTGAATTTGCTCGCCATAGGCGTTGTTTATCTTCTAAAGGTTATTTCGGAGACTGATGGTGGTAAGTTTGGGGTTAATTATAGTTCTCTTTTTTGCATTCATTCAGGGATATTCATCCTTGGCCGTAGCATTAGTCCTGCCAGAATCAGGTCGTTTAGTTGCATGTGAAAGAGATGCCAAATGTCTCGAGGTTGCGAAACGATTTTATGATCGTGCCGGTGTTTCACACAAAGTAATTTTTTTCTTTATTTACTGTACTGGGACTTCTTTTATCAAGTAATTCTGACCGGTGGCCTGAATCTTTTGAGATATATAATCTATCTCTATTTTTCCGCAGACAACCTGCAACTTCCATATCACAGTGCTGTAGAACTGTTTGTATCCAAGCTTTTGGGTAGCTCTAGCTAGTATATTTCCTGTTTACAGCGTTGTAAAACTAAAACGGATATCTAAAGCCCGGTTTGATAACCATTTTGCTTTTAGTTTTATGTTTTTAAAAATTATGCTTGTTTCATCATAATTTTTTGGTATGTTTTTCACTTTTGTTAAAAACAGACTTACTTGACTCTTTAGCCAAATTTCAAAATCAAGAACAAGATTTGAAAACCTATTTTTAGTTTTCGAAACTTGGCTTAGATTTTGAAAAATTTTTAAAAGGGAGATAACAAACCAAAGAAGCACCTGTGTAGAAGGAGTGTTTTAAAGCTTTATTTTCAAACAGCTGGTATAACTGGGATGACGTGGGTAAGGCCATTCATTTAATCGGATTTTTTGGATTATAAACCGGTGGTGCAGTATACCCTCTTACGAGTGTCCGAAGATCCATCCGTTTCTTGCATGTATGTTCATAATTTTAGGTTATAACACGTTTCTGATACTCAAAACATGGTTTTGGATGATTTCTGGAAGTAGGTGGATGTGAGACATGGGCTTGCAGAAGATACACTCAAATCACTTATTGCAAATGGTGAAGCTTGCAGGTGAATTGCTTTAGGTTATAACATGTTTTGGATTCCACGATTCGAAAACTGGAATTGTTTCCTCATTCAATATGAAAGAGCCTGTGATGATTCAGTTCAGTTTTATTATAGTCATCCATTACTACTTCATGTTCTCTCTTTTTTACCTTATTTTAAGTGTTGCTAATATACAAACTCTGTGAAGAAGAGGTTTTAGTATATACTCAAACTTCCGAGTGTAGTGATAAATTCTTTATCTTTTTCATCTCATGACTTTGAATAGCCTTTAATAATTCCACATATATATTTTTGTGCATATATAGCTATGATTTTGCCTTCATTGATGCCGAGAAGAGGATGTACGAGAAATACTTCGAGCTGTTACTCCAACTAGTGAGACAAAAAATGATTTGCTTCACCCAAAATCTTTCTATGCCTCTAATAGTTTGATTAGCTAGTCTATTTCTTCACTCCATGCCGTTTTAAATGTTTCTGAAGTTCTTCATGGCCCTTCTTCCAGGTGAGGGTTGGAGGTTTAATTGTGATTGACAATGTCCTCTGGTTTGGAAAAGTAGCTGATCCGATGGTGCGTTTGCTCCAACCTCTCGTGTTATTGCCTCCATTTTAACCGAGTTGACTGATGACTGGTCTGCATTTTGAGCAGGTAAATGATCAGAAGACCGAGAGCATTCGGAGACTGAATAAAAAGATAATGGAAGACGATCGAGTCGGGATCAGTATGGTGAGCATTGTGATCTATCTTCCTTCTGCTATTTGCAAGCCTCCTTGAGCTAAGATGATGATGCTGAACTTCTTGGTTTGTTAGGTACCAATTGGAGATGGCATGACAATTTGTCAAAAGAGATGAATTAATGGTGCTTGGAAGAACGATTCAAATGTCTAAAACTTTGAATTATTGGGGATGGCCACATTAGGTGCTTTTATGGATTCGAACCTCTAATATTTTGGACGAAGATATATATGTTTGATCTATGTTCAGATTGCCACTAAAAATTGTTTCAGCTCTGATTTTTATTAATATGAATTTTTTAAGAGTAATTTTCATTATAGGCTTGGAATCATTACTCACCGCCTAATAATCTTAACCATGGCAAAATCGAAAAAATCAAAGTAAAAAACAAGGGAGTTATTATGTGTTTGAAATCATTATTCATAATATTTTAATGATTTGGGATGCATAACAATTTTTTTAAATAGTCGAACAATAATGGTAAAAAAACACAATAGAAAATAAAATTTTTAAAATAATTACTCAAACAGGTTTAGATCCAACTTTTCTTTTATATATATATATATATATATATATATTAGTACAACTTTTCTTATATATTAAACTATAAATTTATTCTTGTAAATTTTGAACACATCTACTTTTTTACCAATAACAAGAAAGATTAATTGATGTTTTTATAATAATGGGCAAATATCAATTAAAAAGATGTCAAAATGATGTTAAAAAAAAAAGATATCAAAATATTAATAAAACTATGAAAATATGATTAGTGAATATAGGTCCTAGCAAAGAAAATGGATAGGATTCGACTTTGTCTCATTTTTCTTTAGTATTATAATTCAACATTATAAGTTTTAATAATACTCCGTTTTGATTTTGAAGGTTAACAGAATCGTAAATAACTCTAACAAAATGTTGGCTAGGATGAAAATTGGTCTGAATGAAGGAGGTGTGGTGTGGATAGCAAGTTAGAGAAAACTATATTTTTAACTCTTTTTTTTTTTTTTTTGCCAAATAATCTAAAAATGTATTATTATTTTATCATAAAAATAATATAAATTAATTTTAAACAATCTCGACTATCATTTCAATAAACTATTTTGAGATCTTATTTGGTGAATATTCACGTCATTCTTATCCATGTAAATGAAATAACACACTCTCATATGTAGAGTTGATAAAAACACTTAGGATTAAGATTAAATGTGTGTTAAATTCCTCAACTCGACTGTAAGAGGGTGGTTTGAGGTTTCCACCAAGTGAGTAAGTGATGACGTCATACATGTTCCCACCATAAAGTTTCGTGACGCTCAACAAAGTCTTTTTTTTTTTTTGCTCATAATGCATAACTCGTTTCGTTGGCTATAGTTTTGTTGGATTATAGATAGGGACAACAAAAATCTTGTTAATTGGTTCATGCACCCATCTCCTTACAATCTTATGCTCATGTCCACCGCCCAAAATAACCTATAAACGATGCTCGTTGGCATAAGCCAACCCCTAAAATTATGTCTAATTAGACCATTTCACCGAGTATACTTTTGTGGTATGTTTTGCATTATTTTGCTTTTCAGACCAAGAACTAAAGCCTTTTTAATTAATTTGTTGCGTACTACAAATGACATGTTTGACACCTTTATAGCTAGCTTGAATTATCTCGAAACATTTCGAACGATCATAATCGATCAATTATTGCATCAGTTACATCGACCGTATCATGATTGTACGACGAACCTCGAAATCCGCATAGCATTTCACTACAATTTGAAATTGTAGTCAATCCTAACGATTAAGGACCGGTCAGGGAAAAAAATGACAAATTGTACAAACCACCTTTAAAGTACCATGATTGTTACCTTCAAATGAAAACTAAATGTCAAAGCGAGTCTAATTCATAATTGACATATATCTCAAACTAAGATGTTATGAGTTCGATCCACTGTCCCACATATTGTACTTCAAGAAAATAAAAACTAAATTTAACTCAAAACTATTGATATATCTACTCGATAATTGACATATATCTTCAATCAAAAAGTTTTCGCCGACAAAAAAAATATATGTAATAAATATCTATGTTTACAAAATTAAATGTGTAAAAATATCCATGGAGGTCCACTGCCCCTAACCGTCCATAGCCATTCCCTTCTTCCTTTGCTGCTCTGCTACCTCTCTTTCTACGAGACAAAACTGAAATCTGCCATATCAAATGACCTGCACTTTTCCCACTGCGAAGCTCCAGAGATCGTTCTTCAGAGCCTGCAATTGACGACGGACGATGGCGGATCCTCGTGCGAGGGAGGGCTTCTTCAAGGGGGAGGTCCTCACTTACGCTTACCTTCTTCTCTATATTGCTCTCTCCAGTGGCCAGATCTTCTTCAACAAGGTACTTCTTCCGTCCCGCTGCCTTTCGCCTTGTTTTTCTTTGTCTTTTGTTGCGATTACATTTCGCCAAATGTGTCTCTAGATCTGGTCAATTCTGTATTATGCTCTTGAAGGAACAAGCGGAGCTATGTGCGGCCTTTAATCTTCACTTGGGTTCCGTTGACTATTGAATTTGGCTTTGGTTATATGATAATGGATTTCTAGTTTAGCGGTTGGCTGTTGGGTTAGGTTCAGATTTGAATTTGGCGGCAATTGGTTCCGTTTTTTGTTTTTTCTTTCAGCCAGTCTCGTGCAATAGTAATTTGAGTGTGCGAAGAAATTAGAGGAGAGGAGTTTGAGCTAGGGCAATTGGGATTCATTTTGACATGATACTTTTGGAAGACGTATTCTAGAAGAGAATGCTCAGATTTCATTACGTGTTATGTAATTCGGTTAAGACGTTTCTTCTTCTTCTTCTTCGAGCAAATGAATTAAGTAGGTTACCCGTTAATTAATCAAACAACATTTTCAAGAAAAGAGCGAACATTAACCTTTTTGTCATACAATCTTCACTTGTTATGTGCTTATAGTTTCAGTAGTTGCTCTGACTAACCTATTTAATTCTCTTATCTGTCGCTGCAGTGGGTTTTGTCATCGAAGGAAATCAATTTCCCTTATCCTCTTGCATTGACTCTCCTCCACATGGTCTTCTCGTCCATCTTATGCTTTATACTCATCAAAGTGTTTAAGGTATTATGGATTATTGATATTGTGGGGCTGAAATCGAGCAATGGCCTTATTCTGCATACTTCTATGTATATGAATATAAATTTATATAAAACAAGAATGTCTTAACTCAGTCTGCTTATTATCTCAGGTTCTGAAGGTCGAGGAAGGTATGAGTGCAGAAATGTATGTAAAGCTATTATATATGGGTCTTTTGCCAGATACCAAATTTTCAAAGTTGTTCTGTATAGATTTGTTGCTTATTCCAGTTTCGATAAAGATAAATTTTATGTGGTATGGATCATGGAACATAAGTTTCTCATGATTCTTGCATGAAGAATTTGAAATATAAGATCCAGAATTTAAGTTGACTTACCAACTCTGGAGCTATTGTTTAAAGTAAAATGTTCTGTCCAAAGCTAACAAGGAACGATTTGCTGGGGGGCAGTAGTTTTTTTTTTTCCTTCCTTTAGAATTGTTCAATCTGGATGCTTCCTTAAAAGAAGGAAATTTTGCTTCTTGCCTTTTCTGTTTTATTTACTCGGCTTCTTTTGTCCTGGCGTGAAATCTAATGAACCACTAATGATTTAGATATACTACATCTGTAATGCCAATTGGTGCGACCTTTGCAATGACTCTTTGGCTGGGAAACACTGCTTACCTGTACATCTCTGTGGCCTTCGCACAAATGCTGAAAGCAATCAGTAAGTGTTAGTGGAATAATGTTTCATCCCAATAGAGTCAATACTTGGATCTTGTGGGTAAACTTTTCCTCTCCTGGCCTGTTACATGTTTCAGGCATTCATGATATATTTTTTACGTCTAACATTGTTGGTAGCATAGCACCAATTGATGCATATTTCCTAATATTAGGTTGGTTCATTTGCCATTTATCATGACTTCATTTCAATGGATTCTCAAATTTCCTTTGCAGTGCCAGTTGCCGTCTTTATTCTTGGAGTAGCAGCAGGTCTTGAGTTAATGAGCTGTAGAATGTTGCTGATCATGTCAGTGATAAGTTTTGGTGTTCTAGTGGCTTCTTATGGAGAAATAAACATCAGTTGGATTGGTGTTGTTTACCAAATGGGCGGTGTTGTTGGGGAAGCTCTAAGACTTATTTTCATGGAGATTCTGGTTAAAAGAAAGGGCCTCAAATTAAATCCTATATCTATCATGTACTATGTTAGTCCCTGCAGGCACGTACTCTTCATTTTCTCGCTCTTGTAAACTTCAACAATATTGAAGACTTTTTTTACCACATACAGAATCATCTTTATTTACAGTAAATATTGTAATTGTATTGATGTAGTGCGCTTTGCCTGCTCGTTCCATGGATCTTTCTGGAGAAACCAAAGATGGACTCACGTGAATCATGGAATTTTCCTCCTGTTGTACTGGTGCTCAACTCTCTGTGTACTTTTGCACTCAACCTCTCAGTATTCCTTGTTATTACACATACAAGTGCCTTGACCATTCGTGTTGCTGGAGTTGTCAAGGACTGGGTTGTTGTCTTATTGTCGGCTCTTCTATTCGCGGATGTGAAGTTGACAGTCATTAATCTCTTTGGATATGGCATTGGTAAGTCCATTACTAGTGGTGTTTTCCATATTTTAGTCTAATGAGCTGATTTACTCATGACCTGGTAGAGTAAACCTAGATATATCTTCTATGCTCTTGTCTACACATGAATAATGTTCACAAGTTTCCCTATTATTCCGGAATCTTGTTCCAGATAAAAATTTTCACTCTGGAGACTATTCCAATAAGATCTCTATTCAAATCGTCATCATGCAGCAAAACTTTTATCTTATTTATTCATTCTTTCTGTGAACTTTCTTGTTGGCACTTCTGGAAATATTCTGCTCAATAATTTTAATATGGATCTGAGCTCAAGCTTAGTCGGACTTGATGCATTAGATTAGGCCAAGCTTATCATTTTGAACACCGCGATCATATCTAAAATCCAAGTTTGGCACAGCCATTGCTGGAGTTGTGGCATACAATAACTTCAAGTTGAAAAAGGAAGCTTCACGAGGAAGCCCTGATGATTCTGAACAGTCCGAATCCATGCCAATGGTCACATCTGCGTCCAGCATCAAATAGTGACTTTGTATGGGCAGTCTGAAGTTATCATAAGGTATGTGCTTGCACTTCTCCCCCCGTTCTTTTTTTCTCCTCTGATTGAGCAAACAATTTTATGTTGCTCAAAATAAAAGATTCAGAAGGGAATCCAACGCTAAATCCAATGCTCTAATTAAATTTGTGTTTGAGTTAACAACCTTGAGCGAAACAAATAAATACGCAGGTGAAAGTAGTGTTTTCAAGTTTAATTTTCAAAAACATAAAACAAAAACAAAATGGTTATCATAAGTAGTTTTTTTAAATTTGTTTTTGTCTTTTAAATTTAGCTCAAAATTAAAATGTGTCTTTAAGAAATGTGAAAAACATACCAAAAAAGTCATGTGGAAGCGAGCATATTTTGAAAAACGAAAAGCTAGAAATCAAATCAGGACAGGGCATAAGTGATTTGTTAGTAGAAAAACTTTTTACTAGTCCTTTTTTTTTTGCCAAGTACTTGTGTTAAAATATTTCCAACTACACTTCTAATGTATTGTGTTGTTTTATTTGTCACAGCTGCTCCTACGGTGAAGAGTGTAAGTTTGTTGATGGTAAGGACGGATTCAGAAAGTATAGAGATATGTTGTTATTCACAGTCAAGTGCTGGAAGTAAAGATTAACTGAGAAGCATCATTCGCCATCTTTACTCTTTTTTGCGTTCAATTTCGAGACACCGCCGGTGATGATCAGCGACTTTGAGACTTCTCACTGGGAAGGCAGAGAAGAAAACATATGGCAATTGTAAGTTAGATTCAAAAGAAAGATCCTTTTATGTGTAGATTTATTCCAGCTTATACAAAATTGATTCAGGTTCAGATTGTTTTACGTATAGCATTGAAATTGAATTCTCTTGGTTCTGATGGTTGTAACTGTCCAAAAGATTGTCCTGCTGCGAATATCAATGGCTTCACCATCTTTCAGAATTCTGATAGAAAGTTGTTGCAATTTGAGTACCATGAATTGTGGACTACAAGATTGTTGGCCTTAGAGTGATCGGAGCTTATAAATATGATTTTGATCTGATATTCTAAGAAATTTTTTGATACTTTTGTGGAATCTGGAATTTTAATGTGTGGGGTTGGAAAGTCAGGTTCAAGTAGCTTGTGTTGTAAAAAAAACAGGGCTATAGATATTTGGAATTATGTAACTTGGGTTGAGTTGTGGGTTTATATGACTGTAAAAGGTTATTAATAGGTAGTTTTCATTAGTTTTTATCGATATACTTAAGTTTTCTTAATCATTAGAATGAGTAAAATGGAAACAAAAAACATTGAGGTGCCAAACCTTTCCGTTGCTTGTTAGTTCGACATTTTGGGATATTTTAAGAAGTGCAGGCAAGTTTGGAACCCCATCCAATATTAAGGGACTAATAGTCGTACTGCATAAAGAAGGTCAACATCACCCCAATCATCGCTTTATGCCCCTCAGGTAAAAAGAGTAAGAACTCCTTTCGAGCTACAAGATATTGAGTAGGCAGTTGATGTATCACACTCGACCCTATCTTTCGGAGCATGCATTCTCATTTGTGTCGCAACTGATTAGGTAAGCTACTGTTCGGTGCACAAAGAATTGCCTTCGATCTCCTAGACAAACTTACTCGAAAACTATGCACGTATCACACTTGCATGTGATCTCTATATTTCATTGAATATATTGAGGACGTGTTTGATAATGTTATCGTTCTTAGCTTTCGTTTCTTCATTTTCAATTTAAGAAAACAAAATATTGTGGTAAATGTTTCTTCTTCATTTTTCTCCTTTCTTTTTTCTCCTTTCTTTTTCTATTATTACTGAGAAAACAAATAAAAAACATATTTGATATTCATTTATTATTTATTGTTTTCTAAAATTTTAAAATTAGGAAAGTAAAAGTTTTATTTGAAAATTAATTTTCATATTAAATATTCAAAATTTTGATGTTAATTTATTTTTTTGGTATTTATTATGCATTTTATAGTAAAAAAATTATAAAATAATGATTTTATCTATAATTTGGAATAAATTTTAATTATAAACAACCAACTTGATTTGTGTTGTTTTTAAAATTCATACACAATTTGTTTTAAACGTTTCTTAAAAATGAAAAAGGAAAAAAGAATTACCAAATTTTGTAAATATTGAAAATGACAAATAAAAAGTTACCAAACAAGTTAAGAGAATTTAGTTATTACTATTTCCTCTATGAGGGAGGAGTAGCGAGGGAGAGTGAATATTTTAGTCATATTTTATGGATAAATTGATCGGGATGAAAATTATAGATTTGGAGGGTATTATGTGAAAGGGGAACATATAGACACATTTCTCAAAATCCACCACAAATTATAAGTACTAAGTACGGGTGGAAATACTATGCTAGGAGCACAAATCCTTCTTCAACTGGCCTTGGCCTCAATTCTAGGAGATGTTGGAATATAATGTTATATGGTATGTTTTTTAAAACAATTTAAGAGTTATAATTCTACCTCCCACAAATGATCGAGGTTCAAAATTTCTTATGGATGATGTTGATTTAGAAATTTGACGATCTCGTCAAATTCGCATTCATCTTCTGAGATAAAAGGGATCGATGAGACTTACAAAACATAATAGCACTAAGACCGATGTGGTGGCTCCGATGCTTAATTAGAATCGGAGTAGTTGAGTATCAAGCGTAGATATTGTGAGCATACCTCTAGGGTTTGGTTCATCATTCTTTTTATTTATTTTTTATTTTTTTGATATCCGCGTGTCCAGGCCAGCTTGTGCACACCTCGATTCACCCTCTTATTTATAGAAGTCGAACCCTAATCTCTTTAGGATTTACAGAAGTCGAATCCTCCTACATCTAGGAAATCTAGAGTCGAGGCGGGATGGTTCGGGATGAACCGTTAAGGTTCTCGACTAGGGGGTCGAGAACTGGTCGACGTCGAGACCTGGTCGGCTGAGGGCCGACTCAGGTTGCCAAGTACCGGCTCCTTTTTCTGGTTCGTGCTAGATCTCGCTTTTTTCCCAACAACATAAGCCATTGTCAAAGCCAACCAAACAAATTCTATTAATCTACTCATATTTAAATTGTAAATTTTATAAATGGAATAACTTAATTTTAAATGAATTTTTGGAAGGTCACATAAATGATAAATGTTGGTGAAACAAATATCTTTGTTTTTTCCTCCTCGTTTTTTTTGCAAAATAGAAACAAACAGAAATATAAAAATATACGAAAAGTTGTTAATATCATCAATGTGAATAATAAATATTAGTAATAAATTAGGTTCAATTAATAAAATTTTAGGTAAGAAAAAACACAAAACTTATAATTTTGTTTTTTTAATCGGAACATTAATACAACCAAACATGATTAAAAGAAAGATGAAATCGTTATTTTTGCAGTATATAAATTTTTTTTTTTAATTTTAAAGACATGATAATAAAACTAAAATGATCGGTAATAAAAAAAAAGGCGTTTGGTTTAAAAGACGAATCGTTTGGTTAGTACGAATTTTGTGTAGAAAGAAAGAAGGGGAGGGAAGAAGAAAGAAAGAGAGGGAAACCAAAAAAAGCTATGCGATTACGTTGGTGGTGCTGCCGGCGGCGACACTCGGGGAGTAGAGGTACCGGACCGACGGCGGCCTCTAATGCTCTGCACAACGCCACTGAGGAGGAAGAAGGTCGTTGATGGCCTTGCAATTGCAGATGAGTTGGCAACCGAGTTTACTGAGTCAGAAGCGCAGAAATGGCCCCCCACTCGGTCTCAAAAACCTAGGCAATACCTGCTACCTCAACAGCGTTCTTCAGTGTCTTACTTACACCCCTCCTCTCGCCAATTTCTGCCTCCGGAACCAGCATTCCTCCCTCTGTAACTATTTCTTTCATCTTCAATTTTGTTCTGATTTGATTCCGTTTTCGAGCCCTAATCGACGTGTGTTCGTTTTGCGTTCCAGGCGATTCTGCTTCTTCCGACGCCGAGCGGAAGCGCGAATGTCCGTTTTGTATTCTCGAGAGGCGGATAGTGAGGTCTTTGAGCTTGGATCTGACCTTGGACTCGCCTCTCAAGATCCAGAACTGTCTCAGGATCTTCGCCGAGCACTTTCGCTTGGGGCGTCAGGAGGACGCCCACGAGTTCCTTCGCTATGTCATCGACGCTTGCCACAACACCTGCCTCCGCTTGAAGAAGCTGCGTCGGAATGGCTACGGAGGTGCGACTGGAAGCTCCTCGGTGGTGAAGGAAATTTTCGGGGGTGCTTTGCAGAGCCAGGTGAAGTGTTTATCTTGTGGAAACGACTCCAATAAGGTTGATGAGATAATGGATATTAGTCTTGATGTTTTGCATAGTAGTTCTCTTAAAGAGGCATTGCAGAAGTTCTTTCAACTCGAAGTTTTAGATGGCAGTAATAAGTACAAGTGTGACAAGTAAGCTTAATTGTATTTTCTCCTCTGGTTTTGGGATTTTCTGTTGTTCAGTTCTGATTCGGGGAGATTTTATTTCCTTTATAGTTGTAAGAAGTTGGTGGTGGCGAGGAAGCAGATGTCAGTACTTCAAGCACCAAATATTCTCGTCATCCAATTGAAGGTTCGCTGTCCTAACCTTTGGTTCATACTCTTTTTTCCTCCTGTTCAATTCACTGTTGTTTGTTCAAGTTCGTAGTGTTGCTGCTTTCATGTAAAGGCGTTGTTCTTGGATGGGTTTGGCAGAGATTTGAAGGTATATTTGGTGGTAAGATTGACAAGGCCATTGCGTACGAAGAGAATTTGCTGCTTTCAAATTTCATGTGCAAAGGAAGTCAGGTATGTGTCAAGCAAAAAAAAAAATGACATCTCGCTGTAATGCTTGATTATTGTTAAGTTTGCTTGTTTTTTTCGAACATGTCTGTTGAACTAATTACACATGGAAAATTATGAGGTACATGAACCATCAAAATTCAGTCGCAATACAATTTCACTGTAAATCTCATGAAACTTTCAGCCTAAATCCGTTATCAATAATAATTGATGAATGTCCATACATTGAAGATAGGATTTCTCTGCAAGTTAGTTGGAACATCCTAGGCATTGGCCATGATCTTTAAATTATGGGCCTGGCGAGGACTTACTACCTATCATCAGTTCTTTTAGTTCATTTAAGGTTTCAGCTAGAGATCTATACTAAATGTAGAACAATGAGGTTTCCAACATTAAATTATTTATTTCTTGTTCAATCAATTATCAAGATCACATTTATATTTGGAATTGCTCTTGCTAGGCTGTCTCTAACATTTTATGTTGAACAATTAGATCTACCATTTCCTCAGCTTGCATGATAAAATATGCTGGATTAGTAGTGCACTGCAAAAATTAACCGAGGCATCTGACTTAATGCAAATTTTGCTTGTGCTAGATGTAATTTGATTGTTTAGCTTGGATCCCTAAGCACCAGCTTGCCAAAATGCAACTAGTGACCTCAGTATGGCCATCTGTTTGTGGATGGTTGGTTGTACTAAAGCATAGATTATTGTTATGGTTCTCGTTAAAAAAACCCTTTACATAGAAAGAGGTCATCATGACTCCATTGATACCATCCCAATGTTATTTGGATTTTGGAACTGGTCTTCGCATCAGCAAGCCAATATTTTATATTTTCCCTTTCGTTTCTGAAAGGTAGGTCACCTTCTGACTGAGTTATCTTCTTACTTTTTAAGTTGCAGCTAACAAAAATTTGAGATGGGTGGAATTTAAGATTATGGAAATTTTATTTGGATAGCAGTCTAGCCTTTGAAGAACTCATGTCCAAGCCTCTATTGAGTGATCATCTAAAAAATCTTGCTGAATGAAATTTCTGGAATGAATCACATGACATGTGGGACTAAAATTTGAGAAGAACCTAGTGCCTAGCAGTCCTTTTCAAATTTTATTTGATTTCTCTGAAGGCCAATCACCTAAAAAGATGCTATAACAACTCTCACAAATCAGAGCTTTACCTATGACTGATAGGAAGCCCAACTTAAAGACGTTCCACCCAATCTTCTTAGAAAACTGAAAATGGAGGAAGAGATGATCTTGGTTTTTCCCAAAGTTATGGCATGAAACATCAACTTGTAGACAGACAGCAGTAAGGATTCTGTTGTTGTCGTCCAGTGTATTAATCCTTCCATGGAAGAGAGATTGATTGAATAATCTCACCTTCTTTTGACACCTAAGGGCTGATCATAACTCAATATAAGAATTAAGTTTTTGGGAATTAGTAAGACAGCAATCATGGGCTTATGGAAAAAATACCTCAATTTTATCCAAGTTCATCCTAAATTCTTTTGTTTTCCCCTCCATTTGCATTCTGCGCAAATGCTTGGTCCCTCTAGTCTCCCCCTCCATTTGCAGCCTTTGTACATCAAACGTGGACCACATTTGTTTGCATTACCCTTTTGCCCGTAAGGCTTGGTCCTTTGTTCTTGGGGAATTTGGTTTTTCCCTATGCCTCCCCTATCAAATGGATGATTTGATTGTGGAAAATTTTGGTGGCCCCTACTAAGAGGTAAATCTAATTGTGCCCTGTTGTGGCTGATTTGGAAAGAGAAAGGACTAGTAGGCTGTTTGAAGATAAAAAGCCTCAGTGGATTCTTTTCTGACAGTTTACAACACACTTCTCTGTGGATTTAGTGTTTGGGAGAGGGTGACCTCCACCCCCGCCCCTAGGCTGTTCCTCATTTTTGTGATTAATTCAATTCCATTTCTTATAAAAAGGAAAGAAAATTATTCCGTCTTCCAATGTGACTAGCAACTGAGTTCTCTTTGAAAGCAAGGATTATACAGCCCAGTCTTGCATTTCTCTATCATACAATCTCTCTTGAAGTCCAGTTTCTCCCTGATATCCGATATGTTCCACACTTCCTAGAAACTTAGATGGCTAGTGGCAATATTGTAAAGTTTAGGGAATTGATCTATTGCAGATTGGCCATTAACCCAGGTGTCCTCCCAGAAGAAGATTTGCCCATCCTCAACCTGGATAAAAATGATTGCTTGAATGGATCCTTGAGTTTGTATTCTGTTAACTGAGAACAACTATCATAAGCATGTTTGAGTAACTGTATTCTTTTATGACGTCCTTAGATTTTTGGTTTAGTGCTCTTTTGCATGCTTCATTTATGCTAACAGGTCCCTAGTACTGGAATTTAGTCTTTCTTGGTTTAGGGGTGGCTTATATAATTTTCTTCAGTAATATTTGATTGGTTTCTTAAATCATGATGCAGGATCCACGTCCAGAGTACAAGCTATTTGGTACCATAGTGCATTCAGGCTTCTCAGCAGAATCTGGACATTATTATGCATATATCAAGGTATTTGTGGGCCATATTTGTGTAAAGCATACTAAATTTATAATGATATCAAATCCTTACAAAGTTTTCTGTATTTTTATCAGGATGCAATAGGTAGGTGGTATTGCTGCAACGACTCTTTCGTCACAGTTTCAACTCTACAGGAGGTCTTGTCAGAAAAGGTTTATATTCTCTTTTTCTCTCGTACAAACCAGAGGGCAGTATCTGCTAGCACAGCTCTTGCTTCCAATGGTGTAAAATCTCATGAATGTAATGGCAGCGAAGCATCCAAAATCTCAAAACCTTCTGTCATAATGAAAACAGCACAGGTAAAATCCCATGTGGAACAACCTTCTCGGAAGGAATTTTCAAGTTTATCCAAGGCAGATAAGCCATCTTTAAGCCTGCGAGGGAAGTCTAATATGAATGGACATTCTAATTCTGTACGAGCTCCTACCACCATTAATGGAAAGATTGTTCTTGAGAAGGATCAATCCATGAAGGAGAAGGAGAATGAGAAAGAGAATATAAACAACGTGTTGCCTCTGGAAAATGGTGCAAGACATAAATCTTCTCTTGGGAATTGGAATAGCAGGAAAAATAATGAAGTTGCCGAGGATGTAACAGAGAAGGAACATAAATCTGTGTTAATGAATAGTAATGGTAATGGTGAGAGTATGGGCATGGAGGCAGTTAAACACGACCAGTATGATGGTAGTCCTATGAGTACCAAGTTCACTGCAGGAAGAGTGTCTGGTCATGACGGAGTGGATAATGCAGTCAACTGTCCTTCTGAGATCAAAGGGTCCAAAAGAAAATCGGATTTTTGTATCTTGTTGCAACAGGATGCCCAATCTCGGGAAAGAGTTGAAGAACTGAAAGAAGTGTATGTCAAAGACTGTTCTAATTCCCTGCAAAATATTTATTCAGTGAATCCGATAAAATTTAGTAGTTTCATTTTATGATCTCAGGTGGATTAAGATGAATGGGATATTTCGTTTCTGTCCCGACTAGATTTAACTTGTTGACCTATATACATAATATTATTTCCGAAGAGGAAGCATGTCTAGTCGAGTCGAGTCTCATTTATAACAAAGCTGGTAGTTTTATGTGTACAAGGTTTAGAATTCACTTAGTTTTTATCGTTGACCACTTAAAACAAATTATGCATGTTGTGCCGCATTGGTGAACCCCATTTATCTATGATATTTAGTACAATTATTCTTCCAATGTGTATTACTTCTAGCTTAAAGTTTTATTTACTATATTGAGTTGAGAATTCGCCGCCATGTTGTTTTGTCTTTCAGTTACAATCTGTATTATCTTTTAGGCTCCTCATGTCCCACTGTAATTGGTTGCTCTTATACTTTTCTTTTTAAGTTTTTATCATGTCCTTTTTGGCTTCTGACAACCTTTTTGTATCTATATTTCAGTCTCAAGGGAGAAGCTTTCTCAGTCTTGAGATCATGCGGTTGGTCAGAGGAGGTCTTCAGTTGCATGCGTTCAAGGAAGAGATTTTGTTCACGAGAAATGGGCAGCACTCCAAATAGTAACGATTTAAAGTACGTATGACTTTCTATGTACTAACAGCTTCATATTCTAGTCTACTTGGTTTCTTGATTAGCTATTTGGAATTAACATTCATTTTCTGAAAGCTCGCATTATTTTTGGCTGACCCTTTCTGTTATAAAACATGTGATTTGTAATAACAGATTTGGAATGAACCTGAATTGATCCTTCTTATAACCTGTATTGGTGGTTCCGTAAATTTTGATGTGAACCTTTTTCACTTTTAATGTTAGTTTGGCAATTTGGCATAAAGAAATTGTATCTGTAGTAGTAATGTTTGCATTCAGAGTAGATAGTAGCTCTCTGGTTAATACTGTTATGGTTTATTTTCTTTTTTCATGGTTTTTTTTTTATCCAGCATGTGGGTGGAACTCTTTTGTTTATCATTGATGCGGTGGTGATATGCAAATGCATTTTCATTATTTATTAATTAGCGGGAGAAATTATTTTAAAAGCTTGAAACTTGAGAATTAATTGAGATTTAACCAGGTATTATTAATTGTTTATTTAAATGGATGGCTGCTCTCTTTTTAGTGTAAATTCTTTTAGGTTTTGTATTTGTTATTTTATTGAATTTGAGTTTCATTGCTCAGGTTCTGTTCTTATTTTTGTTGAATATCTTGTTTTGTACATGCGATATGTTTAGGACTTGGTTAGGACTTGGTTGATATTTTAAACTGCAATATGTTACATCTTTATCTGAGAATATTTTTTTCAACATTCTAATTCCCAATTCTGTTTATTTAAAATTGTTTTACTGTGTAGATAATTTCCTTTTCTATCATCGAGCTTAATATTTTATGGATTCCAGTTCTAGGCAAATATATCTATAGGTGGATGTCCATTTTTACTTATTTTAACTGTGCTTAAGTGCTGATTAACGTATGGTATAATACTATAATGCTGCCCCATTCTCGTTTTAAGTGCACGTGTCTCCTGCTCTTCAATCTGATGGCAAGGGGTTCTGTATCAGTCTGGATTCCCATTTGATGCGTTCCCTTTCTTTTACCTTTTTTAACAGTGAATTATATCTTTAAGGTTGGGGATATCGCTGATTGAATTGTCTTTGTTTGCCCCATTCTTTTGAAGTATCTCCTAATTCATTCACGAGGGGTTGGTTGAGTCCTTGATTCCCTGTCTTAATGGATTGTAATTTACACGTGCACTGACATGCAATGCAGGAAATTGCTGATTGCAGATGCCAAACAGAAGTTTATTTCACGGATTCCAGAATCTCTAAAAGAGGACCTAATAGAAAAGCTCCAACTATTTAGCCAAGAAAAGTAACCCCGGTGGGTCTCTTCTCTTTTTATTCAGTAGCTGTGCTGAGACAAAACCTTGTGCTGGTTCTTGATGTACGTCCGTATATGCTAAGAGATGGCATCACAATCTATATAACAAAATTCATTCTGTTGTAATTGTTCCCTTTGATGGGAATGGAATGTCCTGGTGGTGATATGAAGAATATGTTCTATACTCTGTTCTTCAAGCAAAGCATTGGCAACATTGGTAATTTTTCCCTTGCGCTCAATCCCCTGTAGTGGATTTACCATTTATATTGTGAGAGTTGGGGTCACTGAGGCGCATGATTGAAATTTCTTTATTCCTCGAGGCTGCACGACGGTGGCAGTCATGGCAGAGAAAGTTCAGGAATTCTATTCAATTTTGTAAAATATCCTTTTTGGTAGGATCTGTCTTACAATCATTGTCGTGGATGCATTACGAATTTTCTCTAAAAAAAATATAGGCAGACTGCGGGAGAAAAACATATCTATGTTTTCATTGAGTTAGAAATTTTACTGTGTAAGTCTTTGCTTTTGAGCAATCTATAACAGCGTACACTTGATCTTATACCTGACTCAGTGCGATAAGCGTAGGCACTTGCTGCAGCCTACATTTGGAAATATTTCGGGTGGCACACACTGCTTTCAATTCAAAGGGTTTGATAGTATTTTATCTAGTCCTCTCAGTCATGTATTTCCTTAAAGTTCTTTAGTGCTTCTCAATTTTACTTCTCACTGAATTGTACATATCCAGAGTTGGAGATAAATGTAATACAGAATTTTGTGGCAGACTGAAGATAATATTTTGCAAGTTTCATGCATTGTGTCAGCAGTTAGGACTAACGTTTCAGTTGTCTTTTTTGTAGTATTTGAAAGTCTTTCTGGATGGAGCTGTTCTGTTTTTGAAGGATGTTTCTTTCGTTAAATTTATTTGGAACGTAAAAACTTGAAAACATGAAAATTGGACTCTGGAGGGTGGGACTAAAATGAAGAATGTTGATGATTGTTTTAGATAAGTTGAATGCATGCAGTTCAGACACAGATGATGTGCCTTGAAGACGTTGCCTTTGTTATCTGATATCAGAATGTTGATACTTCTATTATTTTCTTAAAAACTATTTATAATAATCTCAGTTTTATATATGCTGTTCTGGTGGGTATCACACTTTGTAGGAATTCATCGCCTAATCCAACCACCCAGAAGTGCAGGAGGTTACAGCTTCAGCTGTTCATTTTCCAAACTCAATGAAGGTACTTTCCTCAATAATGGAATGAGAGAGGCTCTTGTCTTCCTTTTTTGGATATAAAACACAAGGTTTTTCTTGGTTGTTTATTTGCATTTTTTTAGATCTATTTTGTTTCCTGGACGTTTTGGCTTGCTTTCAAGTTGTTTCAAGGGAATATGATATGTATATTTTTCTTAAATGGAAAGGTTTGTATCGTATGGGTCCTGAACACAAAAGTGCCTAATAATAGGAGTTTTTAAATATTGTATCTAATAGGTTATAAATTTTAAAAACTGTTTGGTAGGTTATTGTACTTTTAATTTTGTTCCAACAGGTTCTTGAATTAAATTTTTTTTTTTAGAAGTTTGGTAGGTCAAGAATCTATTAGAATTGAAAGTTTATCTGGTTAAGGACTTATTAGATATTTTTTAAATATCAGAGATTTATTAGACTAAATATTGATAGTTAAGAATTTTATTGAACATTTTTTAAAATTTAATGACTTATTAGATAACTTTGAAAGTTTAGGGACAAAGTAGTTGTTGGGTGTATTTTATGGAATTTGTTTTTAAGAACAAATTTGCAGACTAATTTAAAGTTTTTTTTTTTTTTTTGAAATGATTAATTTCTCATGTTGTTTCTATTATTGTTTTTAAATCTATAAACTGTTTTGAGGGAACTTTTTTTTTTTCTTGTATTTTAATTTTTTCCCCTTACATATGTGAACTTTTTATTTCCATTTTTTCCCCAAATTATTATAGAAAAACTATAATATGAAATAAGTATCATTTGCTTAAAATTTTCCATCTCTTATTTTGACTCACTGATCTTTAGAGTTTAGCCTACGTAATTGTGCAAGTAAATAAAGCATCAAAATAATGGCAGCTGACATGAGTAAGTCATTTTCTTAAATTGGTTTCTTAATGCAAACTGGGATTCATTTTGAACCGCAAGGGGATCTGAAAGCTACCCGTGCTCCAACTCCAAGGAATGGACTGCTCGGCTGACAAATGTTAAAAGCTGGATTGTTTTGTGGTCATCAATTTCAAGCCATGAAACCACTAGCTATTTGGGTAAGTTTTGATTTTTTTGCCATACTTAATGTTGAACTAATCTATTCATTTGAAAAATTTTGGAAATTGATGTTGACTTTATTGGTTGGGTGACTTAGTGGTCCATTTTTCACTACTTACAATTAGAGCCATAGATAACATGCTAGATTACGTCATCGTGTGTATCGCATACATGAGTCTTGTTTGGATGAGATTAATATCACTATCGGATTTTCTAGGTGTCAAGTTTAACATATTGCCACCCATTAGTAGTTGATTGATATTTAGTAGTTGATTGATATTTGATGTCTTGATTGCCACTTGGGATTTCGTATTTAGCTTGTTTATGACTAGTGGCTGGTCTCATTAAGGTTTTGGTCGAGCCACTACTTGTGATTGGCCCGACCTTCCACAAGTATTTTACATCATCAACAATTTAGGATTGGTTTGGTTGGCCTATTGATCTTGGTGGTTGGGGATTAAGGTGGGTTAGATTTTAACTATATATGTGATTTTTTCAATCTAAACGAGCCCTCACTTTTTTGCTCCGCCCTTGGTCGCCAGCTAAATGGTCTAAGTGGTTATGGGTTAGAAATAGAGGTCTTGTTTTTGTATGTGTGGAAAATACAAAGTGATTAGCATGTTAGAGCAAGGTCTTAACTTGCAGGTCCGAGAGAGAAAGTGTATACGAATGGACCCTCTATTCGATCGACAAGTCGGTTTTGCAAGTTGGTTGGGATGGACCCTCTATTCGATCGACAAGTCGGTTTTGCAAGTTGGTTGGGATCGATTGACTAACGTTAGTAAACTAATTGATTGAGTAGTTAAGTGCATGATGAAATAATGTAGACCAAATTAGAAGGATGAAAAGGTTTATAGGTTAAATCAACCATGTCCAGATGGTTGCAAAATAAATCATTATTAAGAATTAAGAATTAAAATTAAATATAAATTCTTAATCCAGAAAATTCTTCTGGACATTATGATTTTCAAAAACAGTATTGGCAACAGGGTCTTCACTAAATATATATATAATAGTTTAGATCTATTATTAATAAAAAAGAAATATAAATTAATAACATGTAAGAATTTAAAAAATTATAAACAATAGGGAAAATCCTTAATTCAGTAGTATGAGGTAAGCAGTGACTTTGTTTCTTTTTCATACGCCGCAAAGAATTTTGACTCTTTTCATTTTTTGTTTCTTTCGTAAATGTCTCAAATTAATAATTTAGTAGTACTATTATGTTATTATGATGTCATCGGTGACGTCACCGTATTATTTCTGTGGGACTCGCAGGTTCTGGAGATCTAAAATTGTTAGTCTTGTCCTTAATTTTGAAGAAACATCTAGTATCACGTGGAAATCTTTTATACATACATATACATGTATATATATATGTGTATATATATAATTTTTTAAATTCGGGACCTAATAAAACTATATATTTTTAAATATACCAGCACGTTTAAATTTTTGTAAAAAAAAATTTTATTTTGTGATTATTTAAATTTTAGACAGATTTTTCTTTTCTTTTTAGACTTAACAAAATAATATACATCAAGGCTTTTAAATTCCTGTAAAAATAGTTTATTTTTGTAATGTAAAATTGTGTTTTGAATAACCGTTGCTTCTATTATTTAAGGACATAAATGTAATAATAGGATAATGTAGTACCATGATACATAAATACATATATATATATATATATATATATATTAGGTATCTTATTTGAACGAATAAACTCGAACGTATGAATAAGAAATAATGTGACTGCTAATTGATTGGCATCCATTTAATAAAGAAAGTTTTGTACTAACCTATCGATAACTATAACTTCGTCGTCACGTTAATCTAAGCATAATTTAAAAATAAGATGCTAATTATTATTATTTTCATTTCAGGGGAAAGGTACGATTCCCAATAATATTAATGAAAGATAAAAAGATTGATGTGTCAATCACCCTTTATTGAATATCAATTTGAACTTTTTTTTTTACTTTTCACATTTGCTACTAGAATTTTGTCTCAAATAATTTATTAATCATTAAAATCTACTGTGAGGTCATGACTGACATCTATCACAGCATTTTAGTTGGCCCCACAATTTTGAAGAACCAAAATTGATTTTCTTGACTTCATTTTTCAATAATTCTTTGTCTCCAAAGAGAAATCGAAACCTTAGATCTTATTAAAAAAGAGATTCATCATCCGCTTCGTTCATACTTGAGAGGATTAACAAATATTAGATAAAGCTTCGATGCTATTTTGGTCCTTATATTTTCAATTTCAATTTATTTTAGTTTATTTTGATATCTGTAATTTTAAAATATTTTTTCTTTCAATTTTATGAGTTTAATAGATGGACAATTTATTAGACAATTCATGAATCTATAAAATACACAATTAAAAGGTAAGAGTGCTCCTATTAGACGTAAAATTTAATCTTGTGTCCAATAAGTCCAAGAATTTTAAAAAATATAGAATAGGTCATGGACTTATTAGATATAAAAGTGAAAATTATGAGATATTTCAAAATTTACAAAACTAAAATTTAGGAACTTATTAGACACTTTTTAAAACAATTAAATTTAATTTAATAATTTTAATACTTAAAATATTACGAGAGAGAGATATTTATTTTCTTTTGGACACTTCAAACACATCCAAATATGGTCAGAAGGTTTGTATTGAAAAAAGAGAAAAAAGTGGTCAGAAAGTTGATTCAGGAAATAGTGGACCATATTCATTCTCTCTCTACCGAGGGAGGGTAAAAATAGAACTCAGAAAAACAGTGGGAGAGTAAACGTAACTTAGATAGATGCTTAATTTCTAATAATTTGAACCTCAATTTCTTATGTCTAGTTTAATTAACTAATATTCATAAAATATGTTTGTTATTTTATTTCATCGGGAAGTAATATGGTAGGATGAACAAATTAGAAATTAGAACCAGAAGAAATATAAGTATGTATTTATTGTAATAATTACTTTAACATAAAAGTGGATTTCAAGAATATTAATGAGTAACATCATTCCTTAGCAAAATATGTATGAGTCTTATCTAGAAAAATATAACTACTTCATAGCTTGAATTGATATATTCTTGAAAAAGGGTTCTATAGAGAACAAATAATTTTACTTTTTAAAAACGACTCTAGCTAATACCACTTGAGACTAAACTTTAATCCAAAATTGAAAATTAAGAATTAGGAAATAAGATTGAACCGACATGAAATGACTATGACTGGTAAGTTGTAACAATACGAAGGAATCTATTTTTGAAGAAGGAAATAGTAAAAACTAAATCATTATTGTTTCAAAAAAAAAAAAAAAGCTAAATTATTATAAACTAAAGGACAATAATTTATAGAGATAGATAGGACATGTCGGCAAAACATCGTCCAATTTTATCAAAGCTGAAAATATTACTGTTTGAATATTTTTTTAATTTTATTTCTATTATTTTTTCTTTTACATGTCAAGTGTCTTGAACTCGACCATTAATAAAGCTTCATGAAATATGAACGTTAAATCTAACAAGTCCATGCAA